CCAAACACACTTGTGGCTTGACATGGACGATGGTGAGATGGATTTGATGGGCCTGAACTCTGAGCATCAGCTTGGCAGAGTGTGTTATAAACGTGGTTTCCAAACAGCTCGCCAGCCTTCCGTGAAACAGACGTGCCCTCCCAAACCCAAATAGGTGTTTGCTGTACCACATAAGGGAGCTGCTGCCGATTTTGTCACTTATCTGTCATCCATCGTGTTGGGAGCAGTTTTATTCTCAGAGTAGAAATTAAAGCTCTTTGCCTGGGGAAAGTAGAAGAGCAAAATACCAAAACAAAACGCCTGCTCTCACTCCTGCGTTATTTGACATATTTATTTAAACAAAAAAGTGTTTAGAAACTCATGTAAGTAAAAAATTTAATAGCTAGAGAATTACTAATCCTTTTGTATTTAATTCAAGACGATTAATATGATGTATGTTGCGTATCAAGTCATGCAGTTCCCAGGATAGTATTGTGTAAATAAAGTAGCACAGCCACGGAGGCTGTATGTTGTCGCTAGCAGCATCGTGTACAGGCTTCCCGCAGATGTACTGCTACTCAGTTAAATGTTTGTCAGAACCACAGCCACTGTCAGTTTGCTGCTCCTGTGTGTGCAGTCAGCAGAATCTCATCCAGGTACCACTGGTTTTAAAGTCTACACAGGTAACACAACTTCTCGTTTTCCAAAGAAACCATCTTAATCCATTATTTAAGCAGCAATTTAAATTCTCCAACTCAAAGCAAGCATTACCAGATTTTTTTTTTTTAATAACAATGTTAAAAAAAAAAAAAAAAGGCTAGTTGTTGAGTGTTTTTTTCATACAGCTGGTTGGTTTTTGCTTTGTGAAACACCAGGGCTGGCTTGCATTAGCAGACGTGCTAGGGTTACGTGGAGAAACGCGTACTTCCGTCTGTGGTGACTTCTCGGCATCTTTCACATGGTGCCTTCCAGTCGAGGGGGAAGGAGTGCTACAGGTGACGTCTGCCACAGAGTAAATCTTCTTGACAGACGTATTAAAGGCTACGTATTAGTGGGATGTTGGCGTTCTCCCAGATGCACTTGGTTGCTGCATTTCAGTGGCCTCTGTCTCTTACCACTTTGATCAGTAATCACTGTCTTAGGTATCTCCAAGCAGCAAACAGCTTTTGCTTCTGCTGAACTACTGTTTCCAGACCTGGTGATTAAAATTCCTTCCACCCTGCTAGATGATGTCTGTCAGCAGGATAGTGAGCATGCTGCTGTTCAGTGACAAACATCCACGGGCTCTTAGACATTTTTGACATGCTGTAGTTCTGATACATAATCAGTTGGATTGGATTTCCAAGTTGTTCTCATCTCTCACTGGCTGTGGTGTACACTAAGTGTCAGCTTCTGTGTTTCTCCCTCCCCTATTACCAGGCTATTCTAATGCTGTTTAAAAGAGGAGAATACAAGTTAAAAAGTAGTAGGAAAACTGAAGTCTGACAAATAAAAACTTATTTTAATAGCGCATTATTTTACATCTTAAAATGGATTATTGATTAGTATTCAGATAAACTCCTGTTCTCCAGAAGTCTGTGCAGTCAGTAGCAAAGTAATGGTGCTGAACTAGTGCACTGTAAACCTTGGTATTAAACTCTCCCCTCTTCCCTGCATTTGTAGGCTGAAGGGAAATATAAGGACGACCCTGTTGACCTGCGCCTTGATATTGAACGCCGTAAAAAACATAAGGAAAGAGATCTTAAACGCGATAAATCCAGAGAATCGGTGGACTCGAGAGATTCAAGTCACTCAAGGGAAAGATCAACTGAGAAAACGGAGAAAAGTCACAAAGGCTCAAAGAAAAAGTATGTAGGAAACCTAACAGCCATTTCCTTCTGCCTTTCATATTTCTGCTATTAAGGTTGGAGACGACATCGTGTACATACAGTTGTACACCTTTTGACATAAGCTCCTCCAGTGGCCTGAATTATTCCTCTGCGTGTCGTCTTGATATCATTATCTCTATCTGAAACACTAAATAATTGTTAAAGGTAAATGAGAAGGCTCCATGTGTCAGAATGGGTGAGTCACTTTTCCTTCTTGTTCCTGTTGTGTTCTAGAGAACAGCCATGTTTAAATTACTTTGCTTTAATGTTAATTTAATTCTTTTCTGTTAGGTTAATTTTCCTTTTGACTAAAACTCTGTAGGTGCATGCTTATCCCATAGTAGATGGTGTAAAAACCTTAGAAGCAACAAGTTCCTTCTGGAGAAGACTTGGGACCTGTGTTAGATCTGCCTGTTGTAGCTGATGCTGAGCTCTTACTATGGCTTCTCCTTTTCGTAGTGGGAAAAGGAGAGCATTGCGTTGATAGGGGAGTGATAAAGAAATGGTTCTCTAGCAAAGGAGTCACGACTGTGTTATTAACCCTGTTGGTGTCCCCCTCACCTCCGTTTCCTATCACTGAAACAGGAAACACCGAAGGGTGCGTGAGAGATCCAGGTCCAGTTCGTCATCTTCGCGGTCCTCTCATTCAGTCAAAGCGGAGGAATATCCCGAGGAGACTGAGGAGAGGGAGGAAAGCACCACCGGCTTTGACAAATCCCGACTTGGGACTAAAGAATTCACTGGCCCAAATGAGAGGGGAAGAGCTAGAGGGACCTTTGTAAGTGTTCTCCACCCCCACTGCCCTGAGTATCAATTCCCAAAGCGGTCAAAAAGTGGCCATTGTGTATTGCCCTTCTGCGGTTAAAGCATACTGTAAAGGAGAACCCCACAGACATTGTCTGCTTGTGGATGCTGAGCCAGGTCTGGAGCACAAACCAGGGTGCTGAGAATATGCTCTGGGCAGTTGAACTCAAGATGCATGGAGCAGAATCAAGCCTGCAAGTTTTTGTGCATTAATAATCGCTGAGCAACCCCAACGGGCAGCATGATGTGCATCAGTCAGTTTGGGTTAGGCTACCAAAGTGACTCCTCTGGTCATAACCACGCTTATCGTTTGCAGTTCTTATGCCTTAGCTACACAGATGTCTTATCTGCACGTTGTATTTGTCAGGTGCTTTCTCTTGGGTGCTCTGGAAATGCCTCTACATGATCTTAAACAGCTTTATAGAAACTGTGATGCACTGTGTGATCAGATGAGGTAGAAAACCCTAAAATGTACTCTTATTTTCATGATCGGTTAAAGGTGTTCTTGGATGTTTAGAGAAGTGACGTTGTATCTCTTGGTAGCCCTGGAAGCTGTCTGGGGGTGGGAGGGCACCGCCACCGCAACCATTTTATTTTTCTTCCGTGTCTTGCTGTTGCAGCAGTTCAGAGCAAGAGGGAGAGGATGGGGCAGAGGCAACTTTTCAGGCAACAATAACAGCAACAGCGGTGGCAACAACGACTTCCAGAAGCGAAACAGAGATGAGGAGTGGGATCCAGAGTACACACCTAAGAGCAAGAAGTACTACTTGGTATGTGTCTGAAGTACTGAAACTTATATACACACCAGGTGTATCTGGTCTTAAATGCTATAGAGGTGAAAGTGCCAGCTGTCATTAAACTATCTAAGCCACCAGGTTAAGGCTTCATGTGACACTTCTTCGCAAGAAGCTTCTGGCTCATGGCTAAAGAGAACTTGTTTTTGTCATTGTAGAGTGGTTTGCCATTAGGTGAAATCCTAAAGGCCAGGTAAAGAGCACGTGTTTTCACAGTGTTGTGGAAAATGCAGCTTAAATCTCTTAGTCTGTGGTGCAGATGGCCTACATTTCTTGGTTCTTCTGTCCCCATAAAGTGTCAACCTTCCTGGATGGGTTAGTACTGTTCCTTTTTATTTCTGGTGATAGCAGTCTGCCATACTAACAGGCATTAATCTAGGAGAATCCTGTCTGACTGTGCTCTTTGAAAAAGGGGCCGTTTTAAACACTCTAATGCATTTTTTTTTTTTCTCTTCCTGGTTTGGGGTACTTGAGATCCCTCATCTCCTCATTAAATAATGCAGTATTGCAGTCTTGTACCTCATACAAGAAAGCCTTCGTTTTATTACTGCATTTTTCTCTGATCTTGTTGAAGGCAGAGTTGTAATTTTTTGGGATATCCAGTCTCTACACTGCACTTTAAGTACAGAAATGGATCAGTTTGAGCCCAGTGACGTGGTCCATGTCAGCTTGTACCAACCTTAGCTCACGCAAAGCCTTCCTGAAAGCGGCACGTATTATTAAGCTCCCTGAGTACCCAGCAATAAGGACTGAAGCTGCTGAAAGTAGTTTGGTTGGCAAGAAAATAAAGGGGAAATGTGTAGAAGATCTAAATCATGGAGTTGCAGAACTAGCAACAGTACTCCAGGCCTAGACACTTGTCCCCTGCCCACCCCTAAACAATCTATAGAGACCTTTATGTCAGCAAGGAGAGGCTGCCGTGCACAAAGAGCCTGTGTAGCGATTGTGCGTTCCTCCCTTCATCTGCTGTTTTTCTTCCCCCAAACAAGCTGGTATTTCTCTTTAGATGGCAGTATTCACTGTGGCATAAACACAGCAGTCTGGTTTGTGCTGCAGGGTTGCGTATCGCAAGCCAGAGTTTTCCTGCTCTTATATCGAGCAGTCTGTTTTAACTGGTGTCATTGGCTTCCTCCTGCGCAGCACGACGACCGGGAGGGCGAAGGTGCGGACAAGTGGGTGAACAGAGGCCGTGGTCGGGGTGCTTTCCCCCGAGGAAGAGGTCGCTTCATGTTCCGAAAGTCAAGCACCAGCCCCAAGTGGGCTCATGACAAATTCAGTGGAGAAGAAGGAGAAATCGAAGATGACGAAAGCGGAACAGAAAACAGAGAGGAAAAGGACACCTTACAGACGACAGCTGAATAGCCGCGGTGTCTGCGTGTTTCCGAGAGCCCTGGCAGGAGGGAAGGGCTTCAGCACAACACTCGTGCTGGAGACTGTCAGGGCGATCCCGAAGTGCTGAGCAGAGCCCCGGCGTGGAGCTCTGAAACAATCCCGAAGTTAACTGCATTTCCAGAGTTCAGCCTCCCTCAGTGTGGACTAGAACTGATCAATCATTTACGCTTGGATCCACTCGTGGAGTATATCTTCCCAAAGACTTACCTTCTGGACTGACTAAGGTCAAGTACTGGGTGAGATCCTAGATTTTCTCTCGTCTGTGACCTTATAGAATGGTCGGTTATTTTTTTGGTAACAGGCTTTGAAGACAACGTGGATTTCGGTTTGTGCCCATCTTAACCCAGTAGTCTTGACATTTTTGTTTCTCTTTTATAATTTGAAATAGTAAAGGTTGGGATTAACTTGCCAGTTCAAATTTTTCTCCCTTATTGTGTATTCAATTTTTTTAAATTCATACTCTGCTTATTTTAGGCCTTTGCGTATGTAGTAACATCAATTAAACGATAATTTTGGAAACTATTTTTGGTTCTTATAAATAAGAAAACAATGAAGCATGTGAATAAACATCTAAATGTTAACTTGTTGGGACCAAACTGCTATGATTTTTTTTTTTAACAAAACCCTTTTTTTTATGTAACAGTTGAGTTTAGGGCCTTTTAAAAACAATTGTTTTCCTTTTATGTTGAAAGTTAACAAAATTAGCATGGTTAAAAAAAAAAAAAAAAGACACCCTACTTTTCACCACTGTTTGTGTCCGTTGTTAGGCCTGGTGTGTGCTGGAGTCCCAAACTGCTTGTAGGCATTTTGTGTATCCTCTTTGCAGCTGGTTGTGAACTTGAGTGCTCTTTCCAAGGTAACATAGTTTTCTAAGAAACTTCAGAATTCTACTAGGTTAAAAATATAAAAGGAGATGAGAATTTTTCAATATTTTTTATTAATCTTTTTATAAAAACAAAAGGCAAATCCCTCCTGTGCTGGTTAAGGACGGCCGTTACGATGTATTTCTTTTTATCTTCTACTTAAAATCTTCTGAAGAAGTTTGCAAATCGTTCTCTGGCTGAGTCAGCGAGCCCTCTGAGCAGGGGAGGCATGTCCATGCACCGACGGCGAGTGTGCACGTGCTGTAAAGACGCCGCTCTCCCTCTCCTCCCCATCTCTGCCTTCCCTTCCCCAGGATTGCTGTGCTGTTTCCCCGCACACACCAACTAGAGTTTGGTTTGTTTTGACTTGAACAGTTCCTGTTTAGCAAAGCCCTGAAGTTTGTTTATGCAAATAAAATACAATAAAATAAGTAGTAGGTGTAACTCTGCTTTGTTTTGTGTCCTGAGTCGGGGGCTCCTGTCACCAGACGCTCGCCTTCTGAATTAATTGGTGCGGCCAGAAGAACCCAATGCCTGTGGCCAGCTCCAGGGCGGAGCTGCAGGAGAGGTGCTGGGAAGGGAAGCTTTAAAACGCGACGGACCTGGAAGGGAGGTCGGACCAGACAGCGGTCATGACAGAGGAAGCTCAACCTGGTGCCTGTGGGGCTGGCCCCGCTGTTAACTGCTTGCAACCGCTGTTTTTTACTCTCCTGGTGCAGCACACACGAGGTTCCCGTTTGACACGGCTCTTCAGGTGGGGAACCCTGCACTTGGAAGTGAGCGTGCAGGAGCGGAGTCCTGCCGTTCCCCCCCAGGGGCCGGCACCGCAGGGCGGAGCGCTCTTGAGGTAGGTCATTGCCGATGCAAGAACCAGGCAGCGCGTGGGTATTTGTTTTACCGCTAGCCTGACGTGCTCTCTGAGTCGGTTGCTAAAAGCGCCTGCTGTTCTGTAAGCAGTTCATGGAGCTTTTAGCCCCTTTGTGCTAGCAGTTGCTGCGTGCGGGGTAGGGGTGACAGCCACAGGCCACGTTTCCCTGCCCTGCTGCCAGTAGGGAATGTGTGATCTGTGAACAGGAAAAACGTCTCCATCCGTGCTCTAAAACCAAACTCCTCGCTGAAGCTACGGCTCCAGGCAGCCCGGTTTTACACCAGCACTAAGCCCCAGTGCTTGTCAAGCGCAGCCGAGTAAGCTGGCCGTTGCATTTGCTGGTGCCAGGCAGTAAATGCTTTTCCATTGCTGCCACTTCCAAGGAAGGCTGCTCCTTGCTCTCTGACATCGGGGGGATGCTGGGTCTGCAGCCTTCGTGGTGAAGCATTCCTGGCTGCTGTTGGTTAATGGTGTTGGCTAACAGCGGTTGAGACAGTCATGTGGGTTAACGGTTGGCGTTTCCTTTCACGCTTGAAATTGAGCCCTTGAGCCAACTTGAGACAAAGGCTGCCCAGTGTTCCCGGCTCCTCAGCCTGAACGGCCAAACCCAGGGGAGAGCGTGCTTCCCACTCCCCAGCAGAAACCTCCGCTGCCCCGTCGGCCTCCTCTGCCCGGCGCTGATCCTCGGGCCCCCTCCCTGCTCGGTTCA